GTTTCCGGATCCTCATAAAGGAGACTCTGGGAAATACAACGTTAACACCGTGGCAAAATCAACAGATTTTTAAAGATGCCAGATAACCAAATTTAATTGGATCCACCAATATACTGGTATTCACACAGTTGTGATTCTTAAAATAGCCATAACTATTCTGTTCGACTAAAATGAACTCATCCTTGTATCTTTTCAATTAATAAACGCCTCTCAAGCATTCGAACAATTAATCTATCAGTTCCTCCATGGTATTTCTTGGTTATACACATGCACTCCCGACCTACTCACCGGCAGTTAAGATGAGGTCAATATCGCTCTGACGGTTACATAATTGAAATAATTCCTAACTGAGACACAGACGTATACCCTTTTTCACTTAAGATGTCAGTTACCGTGTAATCAGATTCTCACTGTCACTCAACTCACTGACATCTTCTCTGATGTCTCACAACCACCACTTCATTGTCTAGGTGGAATAGCCTGTTTGCTTCATTAGTAACTCAGGCTATTCAGTCACTCATCGACACTGAGTAGTTGTCAGTTGAAGGGCTATTTCCTTGAGTCAAAACAGTGAAGTGGTAATTTGGTTAAGAAGGCACCTCTGGTATTTCTCTTAGGAGTGGCTTACAACACCATATGGGGTAACTTTTCTATTCCAAACAGCGCTTTAACAGCAATGTAGAATTTTCACTATTTTTAAAGGTCAGCTACACCTGGCATTCCCATCGAGTCACCTTTTCATCAAGTACTAACTGGGCCCTACTTAGCGTACCTTCGGTGATTGGAAGTGAACGGGTGTTTTAAAGTGGTAGTACTGCTATTTTTGTCTGCTGACTTTTAGAAAACTCGAATACTCCTACCACAAATGGGAAAGAACAAAAAAAACTATAGGACTCAAGTTTTGAAGTCGTGTGATTATAACTGATATGATTATAAACCACAATAAATTGTGCTCGAAACATTTTCATGCAGTAAATAATACTATTTCACTCACTATGTGATTTATCTAAGAAAAAATTAATGTAGACCTGAACGGATTTAATTCTGCCTACTTCAATAATTACTTCGACCTCCAGGAACTGAACACAAGTAGGCGCCTTGCATTACCCTACTTTTAACGAGAAGATTGAAAATTGCAAGATTTAGCCTACCTTAAAATAACTACTTTTCCTAAACAGAGGTAAGTAACAGACTACCATCCATCGTCTCAGGGTACAAGTAGTAGAGTGGTTATTCTTAGAGTCACTCCTGAAGATCAATTTGGCATTATACACACTATAAACGTAATTCTGGACTCAAACAATGAACGAACTGAGTAGCGCAATTACGGAAAATTTCAAAGTGAAAATTTCGTCCGACACTCAAGCTATTGGCTGAGAACGCTCTTTCATTCAATATGGCATAACAACAGTCTCTGTTTCAATCCTCAAGTAATGTCAGTCATCACTATATGCCTTCCCACATGTATCCTGAATGGTGTCAGAAATGCAAAGACGAGTGTACATTTTGGTAGGGGCAGCACATCGTCTTTCATATAAGAGCACCACAATATTGACAGTTTCTTAAACACGATCGCAGATTCCCAATAAGTCAGAGATATGTGCTACAACAGATAAATGTGGAATCATTCGACAAATTTCTTGCTCTCATCCCCTTTATAATACTACGCATTTGATAAATTTTATTTACATGGGCCGCCGAGTCAAAACTCGACGACTCATCAGGTAAGAGAGGACAGAGATCCTTGTGACAACAATAACTACTGAATAATGTGGTCAAAATGCTCGTTTAAGCCTTAACAGCCTCTGCAGTTCCGTCTTCTTCCTCTCCCAACTTTATCAAAGTGAATTTCGAAAGACTGATAGGATTCTCCATGCATCGTCAATTTTTATTTCATTGACTAGCTGTTACATCTAATGAAGTATTTGAGTAAGACTGAAATCACTAAAATGTAGGTCTTGGGAGAATTGTCGCACCTACTACTGACGTATAGGCACAACTCTTTTTATCAGAGCAGTTTTGAGAGGATCCTGAAGTTTTGAAGAGGGGTAGGCGATGATCTCACACCTATCTCCGATAATATTTTCAGGAAGCCTCACAATAACTAAGTGACACCTAAGACAAAGGGTAAAACACATTTCCGCATGAGCGAACCCTACGAAGGTTCGGTGTGTCCATAAGGTGTTGTGGTAACTACAACCTGCACAAGAAAGTTGATTTCAGCATTCAGTGTGGTACGTTATGGTGAGAACATACATTAAAATGCCACAATTATAAAATTAATCAAGCAGAAAAATTAATGAAAAAATAGTAACAATCAGCCACGAGAAAACGAACCAAACTACAACCAGTAAATAACTGAAAGTATTGATAAACCAAACTGCAGATATGGCACGGATTCACGAGTTGTAATTGACAGGTTGTGTGGTCAACATTTCACACTATACAAACCTTACTAGATAGAATGTAATAATGTCACAATTTAATCTGTGCTTTTCCAAACCTGCAACTGCTATTAACAAAAGTTGAATAAAAAGGTTTGGCTTTTTAAGAAAATGTTCTGCAGAACGACTTGTTTAGAAGACTGAACGTCACAATAACTTCGAGAGAAGCTTTCAGGAACTTGTTTAACCATTGTGGCTGAACTATAAACTCTAGCTTCGTATATGTTACCAGATCGAAGAAATGTGTAAAATAGCGTCCAAGCCTGGTCGACAAAACACACCGTAATATAAGTTCAAAAATCTAAAGCACCCTCGAGTCGGGCAGAAGTTTGTCCATTCATAACTAAACTCATGCAGTTTTAGCCCTATATTAATTCTGGTACAGTGAAAGATGCATCGAGACTGGCCTTTACTGGAAAGCAGATACTTTCTGCAGTTACTCCATAGTTCTCTGAAATACAGTGATGCCGTGGAAGTTGGATGGTGAATGCCTGACACGTATATACATAGAACACGCGAATTCTATTTTGAAAAGTTCCACTTTATATGAGAACACTCACTGACTCGTCTTCAATCTTCGTAACGTTTGTATTTTCCAGAAATTGTTTATACAAGTCATCATAGTTTTCTAAATTCCAATAATACACAACCCACAAACAAGCAATTAGGTGATACGCTAATTTGGTTGGATGATATTTTTCTCATCAGATGTCGAATGAGTTCAAAATCCAATTCGAAATTAGTATAAGACTTGATGAGATTTGAGTGTGAAATACTCTGCTGAGAAACAAAACGTAATCATGATCTATTATTCTGCGTTGTTCGTGGTTGTGTTGCTCCTCAATAATGCTAGTCGGCGCGCTCTCGCTATAGTCCCAAAACCAACAGTTTACAACAAAGCTTCAACAGCCTGCAACCTGATGCAAATACTCACCTACGAACACAACTACCCAACATGCTTTATACTCATAGACGCACTGACAAGATTTCGTCTCCATCTAGCATCACAGCACCCGCCAATTCCTCAGGAAAGCAAAGAGAAATGTATCATAAACAAATTGAAAATTGAAATCATGGATGGATGTGACGAAATTGCAGATAAACTGTGGCCGAGTCATATAATGAACGAATCATGTGAGTCACAACACAAGAAGTATTTCATTCACCACTTTGCAGATAACGTGAAGATTGAAGATACAGAAATCTCGATAAGTTCGAAAGAGGTTTGGGGTGCACTACGTGCCCTTGAAACTGTACTTCAGATGGTGTACAAGGATGAATTTGGAGGCGTTAGTTTTGTTTTTGTCGACAACTTGACTTCATCAATATATTCTAACTAGAATATGATATTTAGGGGTTCTGTGGAAGATGAACCATTATTCTTACATCGCGGAATACTCCTAGATACTGGAAGTAATTTCATCACAGTTGAAACTATTCGGAATTTAATAGTAGGAGATGTTATATTTAGCATAGTATTTTCTGTTTTCAGGATATCATGGCTATGGTTAAAATGAATGTATTTCATTGGCACATCACAGATGACGAATCGTTTCCCTTTGTCTCAACCACCTATCCAGAACTGTCACACAAGGTAAGTTGAGTCGATATTGAGCGTTTAATAATTCCGATTCTCGTGTCAATATCAACAGGGTGCATATCATCCACAAAGGTGTACATATGATGAAATAGAAGTGTCTGATTTATTGGAATACGCTCGTCTCCGTGGAGTCCGGATCATTCCAGAGTTTGATACTCCAGGTAAATAAGTTTGAAGATATTTGGTATGATGTAATTATCCACCAATTGTGCCCACATGAAATGATGTTATGTAAATATTTGAGTGAGTAATATAGTGTTCTCGAAATAATGCCACGAATGCAACATAGGACCAAGAATTCGGCAGAGGCACTAGGTTTGAAACTGTAATGCGGATTGTTCATGATATATTTTCAGGTATATTAACTCAATGAGGTGATGAAGCGCATTAGTCCTGAGTTGCATGAGAGTTTCTTATTCGACTAAAGCCTTTATCGGTACTCTGTGAAGAAAAGACCACAGTTTTATTCGAATCATTGCGGGTTTACGGTTCTATTTATTCTTTTTCAATTGCTTCACATAAATCAGAAAACGTGATGAAGAATTCGAAAGGCGAATAGCTTGAATGTAATTAGTTGAAGTGTCAGTAAAACTTTCAAGTGGTTGATGACTGCTTTGAAATTCATAGGTAATATCATTGAATGAATCCATGCAGCTCAAGTTCCTAGAGCAACGGCCGGTTCGCCCTTATTTAAACATTATTGTTGTTCATAACAACAATTATTTCACTACTTTTATGTATCCATACATGTAGAGCCTGATGATGAAGTTATCGAAAACAGTATTCTTTGTTCAGTAACCATTCTTTTGAAAATTTTAACGGACACTTCTAAAAGCTCTCAAAATGACCTTCACTGATTGTCAAAATACTTCCTTGCAGCGCATACATTGTCATGGGGAAAAGCATTTCCAGACTTACTAACAAAATGTTATCAAGACTCTAAGCTAACTGGACAATTGGGTCCAATGAATCCAGCCAACGATTCTACATTTGAGTTTTTGAAGAATCTGTTTACAGAAGTCACAAGCCGATTTCATGATAATTATATTCATCTTGGAGGCGATGATATAGATTTTGCCTGTTGGTGAGTTTACGCATATTTTATGTCACAGTTCATTGAGTAGACGCGTTAGGACATCCCAAAATTCTCAAAGAATTCTGACGGAAAATGTTTTCTTGCTTCAGATGAATGGAGGTTGAATTCGCCTCATCTAGCACACTTTATCACTACTTAAAATTTATATTTGTTTGAATCTCAGCCAAGTTGAAATGAATGATTCTCATGTTTTGTTCGTCGGACACTTCGAAACCTCTTCAGAAAAATAGTTGAAATTAAAATAATAAAGGTATAAATAAAGCGTACAGTTTGTCTGTACAACTCTTGTCCAATCACGTCTGAGTCATGATTAGTCATCAAAAACGATACCGAATGCATTGTGATTCACATTTTACAGATTAGTTCACATGACTTATTATTAGCCTGAATGAGTTTTACACCGTGAACAGTGTATGCAGGGTTTTGTATCAGCCTTCATTAAAACTGTTTGAATGAAAGTCATGATGAACTGGTGCGAACTAAGGGAATCTGATCTAAACAATTTGCATGTGACTGTGTGAATAATTGCAGATCATTTGTCAACATATTCAGAATCAAATGAAACGGCGTTAATGTTGGTGGTAATTATGAGTCATCAATGTTTCATTTGAAGTCTTCAGTTACACATATCCCTAATGAAAGCACCACGGAGAGTTTCAATAAAACATCAATATGACGTCACACTAGTTACTAGTGTCTAATCAAACATAAACATATTTTATCATATAAGATACACATAATCAGAATGATAAATTAGGCATGAAGATTAGTGATTCATATCTATACTACTTATTGATCAAGACCTGTAATGCGTCAAAGCAGATGTGACGGTATCATCTTAACTAACTTATTGATATGATATCCTTCCAAATAATATCATAAATAGATTGTGAAACATTTCATTCCTGTTGATGGCATAACTTGCGACTTAGCTGTGTAAGAGAATTATGCCTCATTATTTGTTTGCTGAATGTCTTACACGACTTCACTAGTAGGATGTCACTTCGCTTTCAGACACTAGCACGAGTTACATGAACTAGTTCGTTTCCATGATTCTAGTTTCATAGATCTCACAGAAGTTGAAACTAACTCGGATTCTAAACACCTTGGATTGTGTCTTTCCTCCAATCTTTCTTGGTCTTTCTATATCAAGTTAGTTTGTAGAAAGATATTTTCCGCATTAATCCAAGCTATCAGTCAGTAATTTGGATAACTATTTTGATAGAAAGCTCGGTTTCTAAAAATCATTGACGAAGAACGAGGGAAAATCAACCTTATTGTGTTTCTGTGTTCTTTTCTTTAGGATTTCTAATCCAGAAATAGTTGAATTCAAGCAAAAAATGGGATTCCCTCATAATTCTTCCCAGTTATTAAATTATTACGTGTCGAAAGTTGTCGACATTGTCAAAAGTGTTGCTGACCGAAATCCTTCGATTACACCTATTTTATATCAAGATGTTTTAGAATACGGATATCAGGTAAGTGTTGGGAGATTCATTTAGCAGTTATTGTTTTATCCACACACACACAACACTATCAGATGTCTTTATTTCACAAGGTAGATTGTAGTTCACTAAACGCCTATTGTTCATAAACATTTTAGAGTATTAGCATAACTTTATAGCTTTGTTTGTTCACGGTGACTCTTTCTCATATCATGATCTCAATGGTGGGGATATTTCTCATATTCCTGTTATTGATGTTGTATTACATCTGTTGGACTTCTCCGATGTCGGTTATTTTGAAGGATAGCGATTTGATGATCAACTGTGAGTGGTTAACTAGTTTTGTGGCTTATCAGCCACTCCTTAACCTTTTAAAGGAAAAAGGGTTGATTGTTAGGCTGGAAACCTCACTCTTTAAAAATTAACTCATCGCTACGATAACTTTGATGCACAGGAAAATATGAAAAATAAACTCATTCCTTGCTGGAAAATAGAAGAAAATTTCTAGGATGAGCTGTGTCTGTCTTTGGAAGCGTTCACTAAGCCATTCAAATGGAGTGTCACCTTTCGAGAATAAGCATGAGGACACGAAGTGTTCTCACACTGTCCTAGGTTGCTCAGAACACAGATTGAAACAGGTGTGTTATGACACTGTTAAGAATCTGTGAACACAGGTGAAATGGAATTGAGATCTCCAAATTCACAGCTGTAGAGTTAATAATCTAGTCCAACCACTCAGACGACAACAAGTACATTGAAAGCGTTTTCAATCATGATAAGACTGACAACATAGAAAGCGTTCTTGAGCTGCACACTGATCTCCTGAAAGAAGGTGACTGCAAGATTCAAATCAAAAATAAGGGGAATTGCAGTTATACAGTGATCTGTACCTAAAAACAACACAGAAGGAGGATGTCTACAGGCACATGCAGACATTAACGTACAAGAACCCATCCAGAATTTGAGTTGGTAGCACAAATGTCACACTGCGGACAGATAGCGCAAGCAGAGAGTTCATCATAAGCCTGGCGTCAGCCAGTGCTGCTGAAACTTCATGTTAACTAATATTTTCTCGAGAAAGTTATACAAAAGGGTTAAGTACGATAACTCAGGCTTAATTGTCATGTTCTGAAAACTTGACTGACCCAAACAGAATAAATTAATCTTTGGACTTGACTCTAAACTCTTTGCATTACACTCGCTGAGTTCAGTTATTTGGTTCCATTGTGGCACATAAATTAGTAAGCAACCAGAGATAGTTCCATGTATTCAGCGATTCAGGATTTCCTACTTGCTGGGAAACTTCGGTTGGTTTTCTAAGACATTTAACCTCTTAGATGACACCACGTGTTAATGCCTTAGTCTCAGTCACACTGGTTGTGATATTATTGAGTGGAGTGGGGATGCATTTAGTCGACGAGACTCAAAGAAGTTGAAATACGCTTCACGTTTTTCACTACTATAAATAAACAGGAAACGCTATTTATTTCATCTCTGCCATTATGCGTCGGTGGTACAGTGATCAGGACGCTCACCACCCATTCACGAGGATAAATTTCAATCACCGCTTGATGTACACTTGATATCGATAGTTGACCTGCTACATTACGGTTACCGATAGATAACTCGTGCTGAAAAGTCTATAGTTGTGTCAAAATAGTGTATGGGATCAAGCTATATTAAAAACCGCATATTTTCTGGTTCTAGGGGATTCTTGAAACCAAATTTTAGTAGCTCACTTAAACTTCATGTTAAACATATAGAAATGCTCCTATGTATTGACTTGACCGTCATTTGTATTAACAAAGCCGTTTGTTCAATCTGCTGTAATATTACGTGGAAATTGATTGATCTGGAGTTAGGATAGGTGTTAAAGTGTGCTAATTTCCCGAAGACATTACTGTCAAGGATGACAAGTGTTCTGCCTACCTTTATTTTCAGATTGAAGAAAACCAAGTTCTCATTGCCCATTTTATAAGTCTTTATCTAGCTTGGCGATCGCGCTGCAATCTTGATTATAAGAAATCAGTCAGCGCCAACTCCAAGGATCACAAGTAAGACATTGGTTACTCTGAAGTGACGAATCCTGGAATGACATACTTTTTCCAAAAATTCTAATACCTTAGAGTTGAAAATAGAGCAGTAGCGAGTTGATTGCATCTTTCAGTTGTCGGAAAACGATCCGGCTCTGTATTTTTCCATTAAAGATAGACAAACACCGAACACGTCCTCAAAGAAAGGCTTTGGACATCTCAGATAGCTTTGGCATTGCTCATAATAACCACTGTATAATTGAAATCTCTCATCCTTTGAATAAGGTGTCTCTCACTTTCTAGATTACCATCTGATCGTAAATTTCTCTCATTATAAGGTATTTGTATTCGTCCAACAAACAACCAGTAATTGCACAAATATTTGATTCCATCTTATAGGGTGACAAAAACACAGTCATTCATGCTTGGCAAAGATTCAGATGGAAAGAATATGCCAGAAAGGCTACTGGAAAAAGATTCAACGTCATAGTTTCTGGTGGTTGGGATTTAACTCAGCTACATAACGAATATGATTGGATAAAATACTACGAACAGGATATCAGAGAATTTGGAGGTTAGTTGGTTTACCGTATGCTTTTATTAGGAATGGTGCCATCAACCGAACTTATGTGTTGACACTGTCTATTGGATTTGCTTAATTTCGAACTTATTTGTCATTTACCACTGTTAAACGGTTGGTATGCGGTGATATAGGTAACAATAATAATAATAATAATTTGCTTTATTCCAAAACAGTACATGTGATACAGAATGGAATTCTCAGCATTTTTACTACAGTTTTGCATCCAGTTAGTACATTATCAATAAATAGAATTTTACATAGATTGAGAAAACCACAGTTCATTATTACAACAATACATTGGCATGTCAGTAGCAAAGGTAAAGCTGAAACAGTGTTTGAAGGTGTTAGAAAAGTGAAAGCTGTCTTATTAACTGGCGTAAGCGAGAGAAAGAAACAAAGCAGCACATAACGGAAAAAGAAGAGAGAGAAAAGGAAAAGAAAGAAAGAAAATGTTGTACCTATAAATGATATGAGTTGGAAAGACGAGATCCACTTGTACTACTGACTATTTAATGAATTATAGGTGTCACGCCTAATGCTTTCTTTATCACACAGAACACGAGCTAAGTAGGGTATGGTTGAGATTTTGGACTTGCTGGTGCGAGCATATAGTTTTCTATATTGGCTTCTGGCTTTACCTGATGAGATGCAGGGGGGAGAGTTAGATAAAATGGATTTGGCCCATTTTTCACATGAGTCCATGTGCCTGTCAACCAGAGTATTAGCAAGCTGGTTAAGTGGCACGTTGCTTACCCTGCTAACAACATTTAACATCCTGCGTAATATGTTATAGTCTTTCTTCAGTAGCCCTGGAAAAACTAAGGGGGAACAATAGAGAATAATATGCAGGATGCGAGAATTAACGAATTGTAGGAGTAAGGGTTGGGTAATACCAGAATGTTTTAACTTCTTAATGCAGAAGGTAAGACGGAATATTTTCTTAGAAATTGCTAAGATATGAGACGACCAGGAGAGATCAGCAGATAGAATGACACCTAGGTATTTAATTTCCGATTTAGTTTCTATTTCAGCGCCGTCTATGTTGCATACCTCGTGAGAGCCAAACAGTTTGTTTAGGTCGGATTTATGCCTAAAGGTGAAATTGACTGTTTGGCATTTGGAGGGGTTTAGGGTAAGACCATTTTCCTTGGACCACTGGCTGATTTCTGACAGATAGCCATTAAGTTTAGAGCAGTCCCTTTGACATTTGATAGGCAAAGGTACAGACAGATCGTCAGCATATTTGACAAAATTAATGTCATTTGAAGATGGTAAGTCATGTAGAAAGAAAGAAAAGAGAAGTGAAGAGAGTACAGCGCCTTTGGGGGACTCCGGCTTCAGTGAGTACAGCAGAGGATGATTTACCTTTGTATACGGTGTACTGCTTTCTGTTAGAGAAGTAGGAATGCAACCAGTTAGTGACCCAGGACTCAGTTTTTGTCAAAGAGAGCTTATTTAGCAGGAGACATCTAGGAACAGAGTCGAAAGCAGAAGTGAAGTCAAGAAACGTGCAGCGGACGTATTTGGCACCTTTATCTAATGATGAGACGATGTTGTTGTGTAAGACAGCTGCAGCGTCTAATGTACTTCTACCCTGTCTATAGGCAAATTGTTTTGGGTCTTCGAAGTTTTTAAGGGAGGGTTCAAGTTTAAGAAGTATTTGTTTTCCCATAAGCTTTAGAAACGGTGAAGTGATGGCAATGGGTCTGAACTTTACGTTCTTGCCGTTTCCAGGTTTAGGGACAGGGACAATTCTGATGTCTTTCCATGCACCAGGTACGATATTTTTGGAGAAAGAGGCATTTGGGAAGTTGGTGAGTGGAGAACACAACACATCTGCACATTGTTTTAGAACATAGGCAGGTATACCATCAGGACCAAGACTACGTGAGGGCTTGAGCGTTTTAAGACATTTTAGAACATCGAGAGTATTAAAGTCATGAAAGTTTTCAGCTACATGATAGGTAACATTAGAAGTAGTTAAAGTAGAAGGACAGCGTATAAAAGACTGATTAAGAGCAATAAAATCATAAGAGGGAAAAGCATTACAACGCTTACTATTACCAGCAATTTAATTGAAAAGTTTCCACATGCTGATTGGAGATTTACATGATAAAAGTGTATCATTACAGATAGCATTAAGATTTTTGATTTCAGATTTGATCTGAGCATTAATCTTTTTGAGTCCTAACTTGTCTTTGGATTTGTATAAAGTTTCTTTTTTCCTGCGAAGTTGTTCGAGATAAGGAGATGAGAAGCGGTCGAGGCGTTTGAAAAGTGTTTGTTTGGGACAGCATATATCAAGGCAAAACTTAAGATAATCCGTTTTATTGACAATTGTGTCATCTAATGAACTTTGATGGAATAAATCTCAGTTAGTATTTTGTAACATGCACCTTAGATTGAGTAAATTTTCGGATGAGTAGCATCTTTGTTGTGCTTCCATAGACAGATGCGAGAAGACTTTAATATGTGTTTTGCTGTATATTTTAGGTAGAACACGAACAATAGAGTGATCATAGTTGAGGATCGGTGCACGTTTACGTGCTTCGTAGATTCCTTCGTCATTTGTAAAAACGAAATCAAGTTTTTTGTCTAGTCGAGTGGGAAATTTGACAATGTTAGAGTGACCAAGTGCTGCAAGGAAGGAGCAATCTGACGAGTTGAAGTGCCCAGTAATAACAGATAGAGAGTTATCGAAGTTGGCAGCAACAAACATGGTGAATTCATCAGCAAAATTTGAAAGATTAGATAGTGAGCAACTTGGAGAAATGTACATGTTTGTGATAAAGATGTGTTTATATTTGGGGAGATGTTTGGGACGACATTTGACGGTGATGCAGTCAATGAAGTCATTTGAAAATGAGAAGCAAACATTATTAGAAATAGACCATTTTGAGTTAATGAAAGTTGCAACTCCACCCCCACTTTTCTTATTACAACATATTCGGTCTTGTCTAAATAGGATGAAGTCCTTTAGAGAGATGAGATTGTCATCGTACAGTTCGTGTAACCATGTTTCTTGTAATGTGATTATCGCAGTATTGTGATAAGTGTCAGTGGACATCAAGGATTGTAGGTACATTATTTTGTTTGGCAGAGAGCGGCAGTTAGTGTTCATTATGACAGGGACCGTAGTTAGGTGTATTGGTGTACGTTTAAGAGCTCTCTGCCAGCCACTACGATGCTTCCTCCTTGATTTCTTGGGAATATGAAAGTCATTGGGTCGGAAATGAATGATAAAGTTACGAGAGTAAATGATCCTTTTAGAATTCATATTTGGGTGATAAATAAATGGAGTAAATGGTAGGTTGGATGCAATATGTAGATGTTATGATGGTAGGCCCAAAAATTCAAACAGGCCGCCAAGGTCATACAACTCAGGATTCTGACGTTTAAGAATTCAAGAATAAAGAAGCGAATATTTAGATCATTTGGATGCTTTTAGTGTTGTTGTATTATGTGATCTGGTTAGTTTAACTGCAGATTCCTAAACACTGAACAGACACATCCTCAAAAGCAATGGTTCAGTAATGAATCTAGATCTGATGAAGGATGCATGCGCCTCGATGACGAATATGTCGCAAATGTGAACTTAGATTTCCTTCTCGCATTCAACAAAAAATGTGTACCTGAGAAGGAGTGCTCGAAATCGGGTAAGAAGAAAAGATAGATGGTCTGAATTTCATGGCGTCAGAATGAAAATAATCTTGAATAATTGGCACTTTGTTATTGCATGCCTCTCTGTCGCTCGCGACTAAGCAGTTCAGCTTGCATAATTTCAACCGAAACTTGTTGTGAAAGAAGAGCAATTGATGTTAGCGTCAGTATTAGGACTGATGATTGATTTCGACACCAGTATTGGTTCGTCAATTACTTCTGATTGCCAGAACTCACGTAAATGAAGACGGAAGGATGAGACACTCCGCACCATCAATTCGCATGCATTATTCATTTGTACATCATTTATCAATACCACGTACCTCGGAGGGCTAAGTTAACAAATGAGCAAATATGTTGGTTGTATGAAGCTGGTCTTCCAGATTGTTCGATTGCATTACCATCAGTATCCTGTCTCAGATCGGTTTTGCTGATTATTTAATCTGACACACTCTGATCACATCTAGTAATGAGACATTTCATGCGGTAGAAGAATTAATCGGTTACTCAGTTAGACTAGTACTGTAAAAATTTGAGACCATCAAAGTTTTAACCTCGTGATCTTCTGCTTATGCTACAGCATCTATTTGATTTCGAAAGTGACGACTAACAGTAGCGATGAGAACAAGGCGAACATTATGAAGTGAGTTCGTACCAATGGTCTTGAACGCAAATCATTCGTTGGACTACAAAACCTGCAGTTATTGCAGCTACAGCATGAATTTTGTACACGAATGTGGGTGCAAATTTCATCTTGATCTCCTTTCCAAATACTGTTAAGACGATGGGTTGACAGAAAGTTATATTTATAATTGAGATAAAGTGGTGTGAATTGGAGTTGGAGCAAAGATAAATGATGGAGCGTTTCATTATTATTTGTATTTTCCTTGCAAATGAATATGTAATGGAGGAGAGTATTTCCTTTTTCATACAGATGAAACTGCGGTGGCCAGGAATAAAATTTCACCCAACGGTCTCGTCAGTGTGTACTGTATCAATGTTGTTTTCTCTTAAATATTTGTTGCGCAACAGATTCTTGGTTGGTTTGTTCTCAGAGTTTCTCGTTGCGCATCGCATGTTTCTGATCCATATATAAGAAGTGACTGACTTGACATTTGTATTGAAAATCAGAATTTTGTTCTTTATGCTGAGGACATCAAAGTTCCAAACTCATTTCAGAGTGATGAATTTCTGTCTAGCCATTTCGATGTTTCAAATATAGCGCATCTTTAATGAGATATTTAACTTATCATTTCTAAATCAAAATCAGTGTCTAACTTTATCGGTACTGCCAACTCCTCTCATTCAGAAGACAGCAACACATCAAACCTTAACATATAAAGCCATCCGAATTGCAAATGTTTCCTTCACCAGTGAACTCGGCATATCTGAATTTGCAAATCACAATAATCATCACTCAGTCTATCAGCTTCCTGTGATGATAATAATAATTATCATGTATTTTACAGGCTCAGACGAGGAGGCATCATTAGTCATTGGTGGTGAAGCTACAATATGGGGCACAAGTGTGGATGAGACCATTATGATCACTCTGGCATGGTAAGTACATTTTGTGAATCATTCATAGAACTCTTCGCGTTAGCATTTTTCGAGCATTTAGGAAAATGTTTTTAGCTGGGTTAGGTGGAAATGAACCAAGTGTATATAACGATTTTCGGAGTCGACTAGACGACTTAGTGAAAATGACACTTGCAGCAGAAAATGACAAAGTAACTCAACGCAGAATCTCTGTTAGAATATGAGCATTCGATAACATCCCTACAGGTTCTGATGAAACAGGATGGACAGGTCAATGGGACTGCATTGTTAGTCAATCATCAAACAAATATCATAAAGATGAATTGTGATTTACAGTACTCCTATGACTGTTTTCAACGTATCGCATATTTTAACAGTCACTATTTTTGAATGTTAACCGCTAAAAATGGCGTTGAAGGTCCTACTGATTTCGATATCAAATGACCATTACTGAATTTTCAGACTAGGTTGACGCTGGCCTCTCTTAGACTTGCATATTTTCATCAACGAATGGCACAGCTGGCCAGATACTGAGTGATACGCCTTCCTATATACTGTGAAGGCGAGACTCATGCAAGAAATGATTCAGGGAGACATCCAGTTTATGACAGACCGATTTTTGAATAGCCTGACAAAAACGTTGAGTGTGACCTCATTTTTATTGCTTTATTTACTACAATGAAGTATCTTCTCTCATCTCTGTGACATACATATGCAGGCCCAGAGGTGCTGCTGTAGCTGAAAGATTATGGTCGCGAAACCCTGATACGAAGGAAGAATTCTCACAACGAATCGGTGAACTTCGATGCAGAATGCTCTAGTGAGTCCTTGTATTCATATAATCATGTGTTATCATGTATATTGTGAAGTTCTATTGCAACATGTTTGTGGCATGTCTTTTTCTCCGAAATACTCACTGTTACATTCATTCACTTCTTTCACTGTTGAATCACACTTTTCATCGTCTCTTGACCTCGCAGGAAAGTATGTGACGTCCATTTCTGTTTCGAAAGGAGAATCTTATCTTACTTCATCTTAGTTGCATATAATATAAGCACAAGCACGGAAATTAGAAAATTTATCCAGCCGCGTTTATTTGAATGTTGCCTGGTTAAAGTGATTGCAAAATTCAAAGAATTAATAAACTATCTCAATGGAAATTGAATTCCACTAAACGATTATTCCTCCTGGGATGTATTAAACATCTTAGAGCTCTTCACTGCACATGATGAATGTCGTATAGGTCCTTGTGAAGGCTGTAATTTAACCCTGGTGATTAATTTGATGGTTTTGTGTCTGATACTGTCAGCAAAACACCTAACTCGATAAATAATAATTTGAAGACAAAACGCGTAGTTAAGCAAAGAGTCTCTTTTCGGTAAAATCACTCTCCGCGTTAGCTGTTAAGTCGCATTTGTGTAGATTTCTTCTCATTGAACGGTAGCACCGAAAGTGATGAGTTGTCGGAAAAATAGTTGTCGATATTTGTCAGTGCATATGGAGAGTTGAATATGTGTATCAGAGTTATATAGTAAGATGAATTATTTAGTCAGGATTCACAAAGAATAGAAGGGAAATACCGAGTTACATAAGAGTCCCAAAGATATACGGGAGTTAGGCAGAAATAGAAAATCAAACAAACTAAAATCAAGTGATTAGAAATCAACACAGTTGTAGCGATGACGTTAGATATGATTCAATAACTTTCTTTTGTACGCACATATCCAATTTTCCTAAATGAATCGTTAAGGTTTCAGCAATGCATAGGAGAAGACAGAATATTACTCTCCATAGGTTGTTCTTCACTTCGTAGATTACTTTGAGGGAGGCGTTTGTGCAGATGGAACGGCCGTTTCTCGCCAAATGTTCGATTACCGTACTTCTGAAGAGAGAACTACTACAATTCTGCTATCATGAGTGGGAACCTTTCTTGGCAGCTCACGCATCGAATGACCAATATATCTGGCTCCAAAAGAGTAAGTGAACTGATGCATGCCCACAAAACATAACAATTAAACGAGGAGCACTTAAATTGTATATGCATTATCGATGTCTACCAATTCTAGTTATTCGATGTGGGAAACAACAAAGCTGATTGTAAATCTCCATGTAATTGTTTGACCATTTATTTCAGTAACAACATAGAAGCTCATCCAGTCAATGGTCCAGGTTTCTGCCCAGCTGAAATTTCGAGAACATGAAGAAACTGGAGAAAGTGAATGAAGATTGCTCCTTACTCTTTTGTGCATCAGAGTTTCATTGATTTCTATTTTATTAAAATGAACTTCCTTAATTTTTTTATTATCCACTGAAATACACTCTTTTGAAAGAAATAACTTTTGGCTGTCTGAGTGTGTACAGGCTTTGAGTGTTTGCTTTTTACATTAAAATGAACCTTATCTCAGCACACTATTTGTTAGTCGGCGCTGTATGAACGCCTATCAATGGTCAATGTATTCCATGTCCAACTCACAGCCTCCCTGTCACAACATCACTTGGTTTCCCATCATCACTTCTATTTGGTTCAACGACTAACAATTAGCTTTTATTTTCCCCTCCTATATTCTTATCCAGGTAATTATTGAATACTTAAGTGATCACATATCGTCTAACTACTATTCTAGGAAATGTCGTTGAAGGCTAGTTGAATCCATCTTCAAAGCATACCAAAGCCACATACATTTTATTCTGAATGTTCTTCGAGCTGCAGATTATTGACTCGTTTGCTGTAACAGTTACTTCATGCATATTCTTTCTGACTGGCCATCTGATCTTAAGTGTAGAAGGGAGACAGTTGTTGATGAAAATCTTCATGGTGCTGGAAATGATTTTTTTGAAAGATACATTAAGTTACTGTACCATATATCAGCATTGGTTTAACTTTTGTGTTAAGAATTCGAATACTGTTCTAATTTTAAGTGGTGAAGATAGTTACACTGATTTCAGAGTAATGAATTCTTATTTGGCCTTCTCGACTAGATCCTATGTGGCCTCATCCATGCCATCCATGGACGAAATGATGCTGCATATCTACGATTGAGTCGTCTTTTCGTAAACTATGTTTCCATCAACTTTGAGATTCATTAAATCCTATTCCTCCAGTCCTCCTAAACCTGAATTCCCCTTTCATTGTGGAGTGTGATTCCATTGTATCCACAATGGAATTTTTTTCACTGAAACATACTTTGAATAAACTTCACGTAAAAATTTGAAATCATGACAGTCTACAGTCTTGAGTACTTATTTTTCATAATCAATACAGATTAATTGTGAGTAAGTATAAGAAGGTAGAATGTGGTACGATGCGATTTTGTTAATGTGCGTCATTGTGATGACAGTTTCTACATACATTGTCAACGTAAGTCCCATCAAAGCTGAGTTTTTGATTCTGACTAACTATATCACACAGCATACTCTGAGGAGTCAGAAGAGGAGGGCATACGTCTTACCCACAACGAGGTCATATCATATCTGAATTTCTCAAAGAATTTTCACACCATTACCCACAAACACTAAGTATCAAGTCAAGATAGACAGAACTCGGATAGAAACCCTCAGGGTAGAGTATTAGTTGATACCCAGTCACGTATGTTTCAATCTTTCCAGTGAAAATACAGATCGCATCATCAGTAAGTGTCGTCCGGAACATTCGAATCAATATTCTGGCGTGTACTTAACATATATTTACGTCGTATCAGACCACAGTTTCTCAGGTATGTCCACTATGCGAAATTCGCTTCTCCCACGCTCTCAGGTTCTCTATCTTAAGTCTATGGAGATTTAAATTCTTGTGACCACATCTTGCCTAGATTAATTGATCACAAGAACTCTCTCCTGATTACTGGTTATCGTTTTGTTAAAGCACGAGGATTGGTGTCCATAAATGATGATGACAGATGTGGTGTTTAATTAAGAGAGATCCCATGACAGATTCTAACAGTAGAATTATTCGTGTTCCTTGAAAGTGTACTACAAATTAACCGAGAGATTTTTCACTCATCTCACAAGAAAAGCATGAGAAAAACTTCATTCACAAGGTAATGTTCACTTAGGAGTATGTTGGAGAAAACGAGACTCAGATGTATTCGTCAATGAAATGTTATGTGTTACTATTTCTAGTTATCTTCTTCTACCTTATGCTCTGAATAGGTATTCGCTTTGCCACTTTAACGCTGTTTATTCTATATATTAAAAATGATCATGTATCCTCACCTTTATGTACATGACAGACGTCAGTTTACTAATAAAAACAATTTGTTCGGTTCTTATTTCCTAATATACGACTTTTCTGATATTCACACTCTGACAATCACTTAAACGTAGTGTACAGGGGCAGGCGAATGACTGATATAATCTTTGTTTGCTGACTTAATTTCATATTATTCGTATTTCTTAATCATACATGTTAACCTAAGCAGTTTTAGATTATTCAGATTCACTTGATTTGAATGTTTGATGGAGAATGACGATGAATCTCGAAGACTCAGGTTCTTTGAGACAGTCGAAAATTGAATCATCGAAAACAGATTGACTGAACAAACAGCGTGGAAAGTTAAGCCATGAGGGTTTCGCCTACCGAAATGAACCATCACGCAAAAGAGAGAGAGTTATTCATGTACAGTAAAATTGTATAGTAGTATTTCGTATTGGTTTGTGTGTTTGTGTTTGTGATCCCGATATCGGCTGTCTTCAAGCTATGAGACTTGTTAGTATTGATAAAGTGGACTCTCGAATGTGGCTTTGCCTGTTTGTGCAGAAAACATTTTCTGAACATGAGTGTGTGTGTAGCTATTATGAAGACCACCTGTATTATATTCTTCGGTGCTGGCATAACAGGAGAGATTGTGTGTGCCACTTACGTCTGAGTTCACACCAAACTGTTATTGCACGACTTAGTTTCATATAACACTTAATGAATGTTAATATGTTGGTGTTACACAATCCAACACAACAGTTGTT